AGAAATTATCATATTTCTCATGAAGAATGGGACAGGGTGAAGAGAGAAACTTCCATAAAGTATAATGAAACATGTTTTAAAATTTTAGGTTTAACATTATTAATACACAGTGCTAATTTGGATACTCATATTAACCAAATACTCCTCAGAGTCAAAGATACTCTAATAATAAATTATGCATTTCAGAAGTTCAATACTTCCTCAGATTATTAGAGTACTATTTAGTGCCCTTCAGAAGTAATAAACTACATAAAAAGGCAGTAAATTGTTCCTCTAATGGCCTTCAAAAATTGATATTTGCACTAAACATCTGAATTATTTCTAGGAAATAAATCTAATGTTAAGAATAGTATGACTCTATATAAACAAAACTTAATTGACTCATAGAAATAATACATGCTAAAAACAAAACATATGCTAGGGCTGGACTTACAGCTTAGTGGTAGAGCAATTACCCAGCAGGTGTGAGGCACTGGGTCGTTCGATCCTCAGCACCACAGAAAAATAAATAAGTTAAATAAAGGTATTGTGTCCATCTACAAGTAAAAATATTTTTTAAAATGATCCTTAATAAGGATCATAGTTCCCAAAGATCACACATAATCTCTAGCCATGAATCTCACTCAGGATTATAATTTCCAAATTAAGGTGAACAAAGTATGAGTTTCTTTTCATTTTCATTTTCCAAAATGTTAACTTTTTATAACTGATAAAATAAAATTTCCATATTGACTTTTTTAGCTTTGAACAAGACAATAAATCCCTTGAAAACCTTATTTTCTTCAAACCAAATAATGCTATTTTTTTACTCATAAGATACTTATGCCATCACTTAAAGATTTTCAGATTAAGCTAATAAAATTTTTAAACAATTTTTTTTTATAAATTCTGGGTAATTCACTGGATTTACTCACTATTAAATCAATTCTAGTTCATTAAATCAATTTCAAAGGTAGAAAAAAAGAATCTTACCTGCAAAATGGGAAAAGTAGAAGTAGTGATGCCCATTTTATATAAGTTTAAGAGCATTTCATTTCCACTCCATATTTTACAAGATGATTCATAATCCCTTTCTACAAGATGTTCAGAGTTTGCTTCTAACCAACTAAAATAAAATAAAATAACTGTCAACCAGAATCATCCTTAAATGCATTATTTAACAACACAAGAGAATTGTTACTGTCACATTTGTATTTCTTAAAGCTCCTAGGACATAAGTGTGGATTAATTAACACATCTTTAAAAAATGCATGTTTGGGGGCTGGGGTTGTGGCTCAGTGGTAGAGCACTCGCCTAGCACATGTGAAGCACTGGGTTCGATTCTCAGCACCACATATAAATAAATGAATAAAATAAAGGTCCATTGACAACTTAAAAAGATTTATGTGTGTGTGCGTATGACCTATATATATGTATATATATAAAAAAAC